TACATGGTCGTTTTTTTCGGCTAAAAACGCCTTCAATACATTGTCGTTTTTTTTGGCATAAAACGCCTTACGATACATGGTCGTTTTTTAGGGATAAAAATGCCTCACTGTCCATAGTCGTTTTTTTTTAGCTAATACGTCTGACTATAGATGGTCATTTTTTTGGGGGCTAAAAACACTTTCCTATACATCGTTGTTTTTTTCGGCCAAAACGCCTTAACCATCTTCGTTTTTTTGGGGTGGGGGGGCTAAAAACGGCTTTCAATACATGGTAGCTTTTCGGTTAAAAATGCTTTAATATACATGGTCATTTTTTTCTGGGCTAAAAACGGCTTACCATACATGCTTGATTTTTCGGTAAAAAAAAAAAAATCAACCTCCTTTTGCCTCATTTTAAAACTTGTGATTCTATTCTGCTGTTTTCCCTTGAACAGATGAAAGAGACATCAAGCAGGCTCTGAGAGAAAAACAAATCTCTTTAATCAGACGCGTGGCTCTGATCACTTTCACACATCCTCACTCCAAAGCTTAAATATGTGTTTACTTTGTTAGTTCCCTTAAATACTGACTCGCATTTGATTCATGCCACGAGGAGCGACAATCCACATCTCCTCGATGGCTTGCGTTTGTTACAGTCAGTCCCCAACTCGGCACGGGCGGGGCTACATTGCTCGTCTTTCCCGCATTCCCGTTTGGTCTTCCTTTTGTCCGTGAAACACGTCGCAGGTTGGCCAAGACGAGCGCGACATTTTTGAAGAGTTAAAAAAAAAAAAAAAAAAGGCGAAAAATCGAAACTCCTTCCATTCCAACTCGCTATCCGGCAAGCGTCGTCACATGGTGTTCTCCTTGTGCTGGCCTTGGAAGGACGCTTTGAGGGCCAGCAGAGCAGCAACCATGCGATGTCCGCTCACTTTGCGGTTCCACGCCGGAGAGCGCCCCCTACAGGATAACACATGAAAGATGTCAGTGAGGAGATTCCTTGCAAACCTGCTACAAGTCAATCCGTTTGATCTGCAGTCTCGTTTTTCGGTGCCTAAATTGACAATGCAAGTGTTTCTGTGTGTGGGGTAACTTCAGGTAACTTGGGCAAGCGAAGCACCCTTGCAACTATTCGGTCTCGCCTTTGAACGGGGAAGCATCTCACTTTCTACGTGGCTACGATGCGCAGAAGAACTTCACGTGAGTGTGACACGAGAATGGGGATCTCGAGTGCGTACCTGGTGTCGGTGCGGCACACGTGCGTGAGGCGGGTCTTGCTGGCGGCGGCGGGCTCCAGCAGGTAGAGGCAAGCGTGCGTGTGCACTCGGACGCCCTCCGGTGGCGCCTGAGGGTGCTGCGTGGACACGGACGACACGAAGAGTGGGCCGCAAGTCGCCTCCGACTGCCATGTCCTGCAAATGACATCGTTTTTGACCTCGCTACATTCAAAAATGAATAAGTAGATAATGTCCAATATTTGTAACTTTGGAAATGAAAGTGTATAGGCTCCACTAATGTATTTAAACACAGTGTATCTAAAATAATATGTATGTATCATAAAAATGTCACCGTTTTTGTTCTTCTAAGCCAACTCGGGGGTTCAAAGTAGGGTTTCAAACTAGGATGAGGGTTTTCAAATTAGTGTTAGGGTTCTCGAATTCGGGTTAGGGCTTCAAAGTAGGGTTTCAAACAACAGTTCGGGTTTTACAGTCTGGTTTCAAATTAGGTTAGGGACTTGAGATCTAATCGGCCTTTTCCTAGAAAGCCTTCATTCTTCCCAAGCGATCTAAAATAATCTCTCCCTTTTGTCATTTTGGTGAGAGAAAACGATCCCAAAGAATTGAGTCCTCGTTCTTCTAAGTTGACTTCACATTCACGAGTGGCATCAGCAACTCAAACGTGTTTTGGGCTTTCCTGCTCTCAACGTGTCTGCCAAAACGACTGACGCGCCGTGTCAATGCAATTGGATGTTTCCCTTCTGTGTGTTTCGACGCCTCATGGAGGGAAAAAGACAAAAAAACGTGTCTGCCTGACTCAGAGGTAAGGCCGAGTTCACTTGTGCGCTGACAAAAACCACGAGCGGATGACAAAGTCAAACAGACACACTGTCAAATCTCATCTGACTCCAGGCTGGAATGAAATATTCATCAGCCTCATTCACACAAAAAAAAAAAAACAAAAAACAAAAAAAGCTCCCTCCCTCAGACTTTCTTCTTTTGCTAACCTGAGCAGCAGGTGTTCTCGCGGCAGGCTGGAGGCCAGGCCGGCATCGTGACCCTGGCGGAGGTATCGACAGACGTGGGCGCACTCGCCCAGCGTCTGAATGACGGCGCCCAGCCCTGCGCCGCCTCCGCACGGCCGCTCTTCCTCGATGAGCCGGCGCAGCAAAACCTCCTGGCTGGCGTCCACCTCCACCGAGACGCGCCACGTCCACAGCGGGCATCCCGACCACGTCTGCCGATACAAAAACGCAACTTTGAACTAAAAAAAAACATTGCCTCTATAAAGTATCTTAAAGTGTTCAAATGACACAAACTACGATTCCAAAACACTTCCAAGTTGTTAGTGCTAGCTAGCTAGCTCTCTAGCTTACTGACCTTCTTGACAGCCAGCGACACGTGTTCAGGAGCGGGACGAGTCTCCCAGCCTCGACTCTTGTCGCCGGCTTCCTTGATGAGGAGCTGCGTACTCTGCCGGAGCTTCTGCATGGTCTCCTCCAGCTCTTCCTCGCTCGCCTCGTCAGTCGGAGCGGCAGAGCTCAGATTCAGAGCCGGCCAAAAGTCCGGAATCTACGCGAGAAGAAAATTGCAATTCACAAGGAATGTTCCGGAGAGCACCGTGAGGCCTTTGCAGACGTGGAGCAGGTCGGCGGCGGCCACCTGGAAAAGTCTCTGTGCTTCGCTGATCATGTCGGCCAGGCCCTGCGTGGCGGCCAGGTTCTCGCTCAGGTCACGCTGGTCCGGGCGGCCCAGGCTGTACTTCCTGTGACTCGATCCGGCGTCCCTCTTGAGGGCGTTGAGGTGGAAGAGCGACGGCGCGAGGCACACGGCGATGTTGGTGGGCGTCATGTGATTGTCATCCACACAGGCCACCACGTCGCGGAGGAAGAAGAGCAACGTCCGCAGCGCCTCGCGGTTCTCGTCTGGCAGCAGCAAGATGGCCGCCTGGGCTGCCAGCAGCTGTTGATCTTTGGGGAAATCTGCAGACACCGGCCCACGCCTCACATTTACACTTCATCCTTTCTACGGCCTCCAAGTATGCGGTTCAATAAAAGTTTGACCGCAACACGCGTACGACGTACGAGGTCATATTCAAGCTTTTTCAAAAATCAATTTTGCTTCTCTTTCCAGCACTTGAAACCTTGGCAAAAACTTATAGCCATCCATTGGAAATGTATGTGGGTGTGTGTGGGGGTGAGTGTGTGTGGATAGATAGAGACAAATAGCTAGCTAGCTGGCTAGATACAGAGACAGATAGCGAGCTAGCTAGACAGACAGACAGATAGCTGGCTAGCTAGCTAGACAGGTGTGTGTGGGGGTGAGTGTGTGTGGATAGATAGAGACAAATAGCTAGCTAGCTAGCTAGATACAGAGACAGATAGCGAGCTAGCTCGACAGACAGACAGATAGCTGGCTAGCTAGCTAGACATACGGCCTTAAGTATGCGATTCAATAAAAGTTTTACCACAACACGCGTACGACTTCTCCAAGGTCATATTCAAGCTTTTTCAAAAATCAATTTTTCTTCTCCTTCCAGCACTTGAAACCTTGGCAAAAACTTATAGCCATCCATTGGAAATGTATGTGTGTGTGGGTGTGTGTGTGTGTGTGTATAGATAGATAGATAGATAGATAGATAGATAGATAGATAGATAGATAGAAAGAGTGTCTATTGACATACACTCACCCGTCCGC